GCTAGCTTAACATCTGGTGGTAGAAAAAATAATGAATCACTACCAAAACAAAGAATAGATTATCTGGAAATGAAAATATTATAATGAATATACAGCAGAGATTTCAATTGGGAAAATCTTACTTGACCAACTTTTTTGAATTTCTTTGAGAGGGTAACAGCAAGACAATGGAAATACAAAAGATGCATTTACCTAGACTTTCAAACAGCCTTCAATATGGTGTGCAGAATAAATGAATAAATGGGGTCAGAGAACATGGAGTTTTAGAACAAGTTGCTCGCTGGCTTCAAGACAAAAACTAAAGTCTGGGAGCTAAGAGTAGTCAGAGTGGCACAAGGTAGAAGTGGCATTCCTCAAGGATTAGTGCTGGGATCACTGCTGTTGACAATTTACATTCACAATTTGGACTTCGGATTCAAAAACACAATTTCTCAATTTGCAGACTTCATGGGGACAGTAGCAGCAAGAGCTTGGCAAGAGAAAAAGTCAATACTGAGAAGGACTGCAACAGATTACAAAAGGGCATTAATATCCTTGCAGAACAGGCAAATATTTGGCAAATGTGACTGAACAAGATAAATAAAATGCTGTACATTTAGTTAAGAATAGGAAAGTGACAACAGATAGAGTTTCAGGAATGGTTGTCGATTAAAGGAATCTTAAAGTATAAAAACACCTTACATTAAATGTTGTCCCTTGGGTCAGCAAGACAATAAAGAAAGCACCAGGCTCCATCTTTAGAGGAATTGAATTAGGAAGTAGGGAGGTGTACTAATTCTGTATCAAAACTTGATTACTTGACTTCGAGTAATGCATTCAGTTTTGGCTATGATAAAAGGAAATACACTGCCGAGCACAAAAAGATATTTTCTAATCGAGGTCTTTAAAATTATGACAAGTTTGAGAGAATGGATGCAGAAAGAATGTTTTCACTCATGGGGAAGGGCATAATGAGAGATCATCATAAGATAGCTGCCAAGAAATCAAATAGAGAATTCAGAAGGGAATCCTTCACCCAGGGAGTACTGAAAATGTGGAACACTAATATAGTGAAGAGAATAGTATAATTATATTGGATGGGAAATAGACAAGCATTGGGGAGAAAGGAACAATGGGTCATGCTGATGGATTTAAGAGACTGTTAAGAAGCTCAAGTACATCATAAATGCTGACATGGACAGGACAAGTCATGTGAACAGATTACAGAAAAATGTAAAAACAACAGGGTTTTTGTGGTGGGTGAATTTTAACTTCCCCTATATTGACTGGGACTCCCTTAGTGCCAGCGGCTTGGATAGGGTGGAATTTGTTAGAAGAGTCTAGGATGATTTCTTGAAGCAACATGTAAATAGTCCAACTAATGAAGGGGTCATACTAGACCTGGTATTGAGGAATGGATCTGGCCAGGTGATCGAAGTTTCAGTGAGGGAGCATTTCGGGAATTCCTTAAGTTCTAAGTTACTTACGGATAAGGATAATAGTAGTCATCAGGTGAAAGTACTAAATTGGGAGAAGGCTAACTATGATAATATTAGGCAGGAATTGGGGAACGTAGATTTGGGGTGGCTGTTTGAGGGTAAATCCACATCCGGCACGTGGGAATCTTTTTAAGGCCAGTTGATCAGAGTTCAGGACTAGCGTGTTCCTGGGAAACTGAAGGAAAAGAACAGCAAGATTCGGGAACCGTCGCTGACAAGAGAAATTGTGAGCTTAATCAAAAAGAGAAAGGAAGAATACATAAGGTTTAGGAAACTGAAGACAAACAGAGCCCTCAAGGAACGTAAAGAAAGCAGGAAAATAAACTTAAAGGAGTTAGGAGGATTAAAAGCGGCCATGAAATGTCCTTGGCAAAAAGGATTAAGGAAAATCAAGATTTTTTTTATCTTCATAAGGAGTAATAGGGTAGCTAGGAAAGCTTTTCAAAGACAGAGCTGGGAATTTAAGCATGGAGACGGCCGAGGTGAGCGAGGTCCTTAAAGAGTACTTTGTATTGGTATTCACAAAAGGAGAAAGACATGGTGGATGGTGAGTCTAGATATTCTAGGCATGTTGATATACATTAAAAAAGGAGGTAGCATTGCGGGTTTTGAAATCCATTAAGGTAGACAAGTCCACAGGACCAGATGGGATCTCTCTCAGAATACTAAAGGAGGCAAGGGAGAAAATTGCTGGAGTATTGCGTGAAAACTTTGTATCCATTTTAGCCAAAGGAAGGATCCCAGAGGACTGGAGGATAGCCACTGTTATTCCCTTGTTTAAGAAGGGCAACAGGGATAATCTGGGAAATTACAGGCCTTACGTCAGTGTAGAGAAATTATTGGAGAAGATTCTTAGACAGATTTGTTCACATTTGGACATTAGTTTCAGGCAGCATGACTTTGAGGGGAAAATCATCTCTCACAAACTTAACAACTGAGGCTTTGAGGAAGTGATAATGATGACTGATAGGGCAGAGTGGTGGATGTTGTCTACAGGATTTTAATCAAGACCTTTGACAAGGTCCCTGATGGCAGGCTGATTACTGAAAGAGAAGTAACATGGGATCAGTGCTGAACTGGCAAGATGGATACAGAACTGTATCACAGTAGTGGTGAAAGGATGTTTTTCTGACTGGAGATCTGTGACTAGTGGTGTTCCGAGGGATAAGTGCTGGGACCTCTTGTTTCTAATATATATAAATGATTTGGAGAATGTAGGTGGTCTAATTAGGTAGTTTGTGAACACTAAGATTGGGGGAAGCTGCAGATAGTAAGGAGGATTGCCAGAGGATACAGCAGGATATAGACAGACTACAGACTTGGGTGGAGGAATGGCAGATGGAATTTAATCTGGACAAAAGTGAAGTGATGCATTTTGGGAAATCTTACAAAGGATGGAAGTGTACAGTAAATGACTGGACCTAGATCCCTCTAAGGGTTCTAGGTCCAAAGTGGAAGTAGCAACACAAATGGATAAGGTGGTCAAGGCGGCATATGCATGCTTTTCTACACTAATTGGGGCATAGAAAATAAAAATTGGCAAATCATGTTGCTGCGGTATAATTCAACCACGTTCAGAAAACTGTATCCAGTCTGGTCACCACATTACCAAAATGATGTAGAGACTGTGGAGGAGATACAGAAAATGTTTACCAGTATGATGCCTGGTTTGGAAGGTGCCACTTCAAAGGTAACGAACATTTGAACTGGGAACAAGAGTAGGGCATTCAGCCATTCAATTTGAATCTCAACTCTATATTCTACATAGCCCAATAATCTTCCGTGACTTTGGTAATCAAGAATCTGTCTACACCTGCTTTAAAAATGTTTAAAAGGTTATGGCATTCACTGCCATTTGAGGAACAGAAGTTCAAAGACTCTCAACCCTCTTAGACGAAAAGAAAGTTATTAAATCTCTCAAACAGGCAACCCGTTATTTTTAAACTATGGCCTCAGGTCTAAATTTTCCACATTCACCCATTCAAGTCTGACTTAACTTCAGATGAACAGTCATCTAGACTCAAAATATTAGCTTACTTTCTCTCCACGGATGCTGTCTGACCCATTGGGATCTCCAGCAATTTTTGTTTTCAGTATTAACAACAAGCGTTCTTTAATTTTAAACCAGGAAAATGGAGTTTGATTGGGTAAGGCATTGCCCATCAACCATTTCCTGCTCCGAGTGTTTTGTTGAGCTGAAACAAGCACGAGTCGCCACGTCCTTCCTCATTACAAACATTAATACAAAGTTTGCAGCATGTGCAAGAGCTATTGGAAATTGAGGTCTCCCTTAACACTGTGGTCACTCAACAATCCAAATTAGGTATTCCAATGATTCATGAAACTTCATTTAATTGTGTCATATTAGTTACTGGCTTTCCACAAGCATAAACAAAAAGATTTATCAAGCACCACTTTTCTCTGTCATGTGTAAAATGTTGTTATCAAATAAGACCTTGTTCTAAGAAGGAATGAAAACTAAGCTTCAAATGGAGATGGACAAGGGGACAAGAGTCATCATGGCATCATGAGTAGTTGTCCACGATCACTAGCAGAGGCGTTTAGACTGGAGATTGACAAACCAGAAATGGCCAGTCCCCAAAATAATTTATATCAATAGAAATAGGTGGAAAGAGAGAGGGGTATAAGCAAAAGCAGGGGAACAAGCCACCATCTTCATAAAGGAAGACCAGGAGGTCACCTATGTCAGCCCAAGTGAAGAACAGAGACAGCTGCCACCAAAAACTATGAAAGGCTACAAGACATCTGGAGCATGGGAGTGCACTGCTTCTATTCCTCCATTCCACAGAACAGCTTCGGGACAAGTGAAGCATTTTTATATGTCACATGTTGTACGTTTCCTTTCTTTGCCTAAGTAACTAATCTAAGTAACAGATCTAAACTGTTGCTTCTTAAACTCAAACTACCAAAGTTGTGTCAAATTGTCAACTGCCGATATTAGAAACTGTGATCACAAACACCCTAAAAAAAAATCAATAGTGTGCCACACTGCAAGGCCAATGGAATTTTAAATTGGTTGTCAGCATAATCCTTAGTGTACTCAGTATTATTTAGCAAATGTTGTCAAATCACTGAATCATACCTAATGCTGGTTACAATTTAAGATTGTGGACAATGTAATTTATTTTTTCAGAAAAATGTAACTATACAATATACAGGCCAATCATGTGACAGTTGCCAGTCAGTAGGATTATCTCTAATAAGATTACAACTATCTTGTCAACCTAGGAATTAGAACAGTCCACAAAAGATTACAGATGACTATAGTTGTGAAAAAACCAATTTGTCAACAGAGTGCAACCAAAATAGTTAACAGTTATGGGACACAGTTGCAGAAATTGAACACAATTATTACCTAATCATTAACAATTATTTTATTCAAGTTAAAAAAAACACTTCTATATTTCCATTTGAGGACATCTAACAATACCAGTTGAAATTACAAAACCTGTATTTTTCTTGCAGAGGTGAACCTTTCAGATATAGATGTATTTTTAATACCTTTTTGCCTTGCTTTTGATATGACTTCAATATGCTTCATTGCCGCTTTTAACAACTTCTGGTTTACAAGGACTGGAAAATCAATCTAATAAAAGACAAATACAATTGAAAAGTAATTAAACAGTTTAGAAATTGGGTTTCAAGCCCCTCTTCAAAAGCTGAACTGCTCCATCCCAGGCAACATCGTCCAACAATCTGCAATTTTATTATATAATTTATAAAATTAATGCTGTAATCAGGTCATGGCAGCAGTTCACACACTTCTCATAACTCTTCAGGAAACGTCAAATGATCAGATTGGAAAAAAAAGGAACAATTTTTCAAACTGACGTCACATTTTAACCAAATATTCTTGAATCAAGATTATGGATTTCATCTTGGCTTCACAATTGTGCGCTCAAGTGTTTTGGTGGCATTCTGGTGATGTCACAGGACTAGTAATCTAGAGGCCCAGGCTAAATTCTGGAAGAGGGGATCAAATCCCACCGTCGCAGCTGGTGAAATTTAAATTCTATTAATAAAATCTGTAATTCAAAGCTGATCTCAGTAATGGCGACTATGAAACTACCAGTGTTGCCCTTTCTGGATCAGGCATAAATGCGACTCTAGAAGCGCTGCAATGTAGTTGACTCTCAACAGTCCTCTGAACTGGCCCAGCAACCCACTCAATTCAAGGAAAATTAGGAATGGGCAACAAATGTTGGCTTTACCACCAACACTTACATCACATCAAAGAATTAACAAGTATTGACTATGACCAGAATGCAGGAAAGGATTCTTCAAGTCTTGGAAGAAGTGTTAAAAAGGCTCGATGATCTCATAGTATAGAAACCAGAGTGTAGAAGCAGGCCATTTGTCACATCGCATCCCCACCGCTCCAAAGAGCATCCCACCCAGACCCATCCCCTACCCTATTCCTGCATCTCCCACCCTAGATACTATGGGCAATTTAGCAAAGCCAATCCACCTAACCTGCACATCCTTGCACCGTGGAAGGAAACCGGAGCACCCGGAGGAAACCCATACAAACATGGGGAGAATGTGCAAACCCCACACAGACAGTTGCATTAGGCTGGAATCGAACCCGGGTCCCTGGTACTGTGAGGCAGCAGTTCTAACTATAGAGCCACCATTATGCCCTAATGTCAATGTAAAGTTGAAAAGAGCAAATCATGCAATGAGGTACCATACCTGGGCCTGAAAATTAATTAAAATGGGCCATAACAGTGCAGAAAGAGATACAGATGTTATTGTTAATGTCCAAAAGTCAAAAGAAGTGCCTGAGCTTAAATTCTTTCTAGGCACAGTTTGGTACTCACTGCAGCTTCTGCATGAGCTTACAATGGGGTTATTTCCACTGCCCAAGTTGAATCATAGAATCAGAGCAGAGGCCCTTTGGGCCATCAAGTCAGTACCAACAAAAACTACCCTAAATCTGCAATAGTCCCACTTTCCAGCACTTGGCCCAAAGCCATGAAAGTTATGGCACTTCGAGTGCTCATCTAAGAACGGTACTTTTTAAAGTTTGTAAGGTTTTTCACCTCATCAACCCCCCGAGGCAGTGTGACCCTTCAACTAAGGGAAACAGTTCCTTCCTATCCACCCTGTCCATGCCACTCAATCAGCTCTAATGTAAACAACCAAGTTTATAGAGTCCCTCTTCATAGCTAAACTGCTCCATCCCAGGCAACATCTTGGTGGTCATCTACCAAGATTCTCTAGACTCTGGATCAGTTCCTACAGATCTGAGGGTAGCTAAGGGAGGTAGAGAAAACAGGGAATTATTGAATGCTGAATTAGAGGTCGGTAGTGGGGAAGATGCTGAAATCCATTATCAAGGATTTTACAGTACAGCACTTAGAAAAGTGGTAGAATCAGACTAAGTCAGCATGGACTTACCCAAAAGAGAAAGTACACTTGACAAATCTACAGGAATTCTTCTGACAATGTAACTAACAGAACTGATCAGATGGAGCCAGTGGACGTGATTAATTTCAGAAGGTTTTCAACAAAGTCCCAGTGAAGAGATGCAAAGTACGTATTTAACACCTTACCAACGTCATCCAGATTCACGCAATGATTGCGCCCTTGGTCCCTAATGGACCTGTTCTTCCCTGGTTATTCTGTTCCCTTTAAATATACTTATGGAATATCTTGAGATTCTCCCCAATCTTACCCACCAGTGTTTTTTCATGACCCCTGAAGAAAAAATTTAAATGGGAATGGTGTAAGGCAAAAGATGCTTATGATACACGCACTACATATGTCACATACACTGGTCAAGAGTGAATGTAGCTATGCTTGGATAGAAAAAGCAGCAATTGAAATCATTTCAGAAAGAAAATATTGCGCCAATTTTTCTTGAGGAAAACCTTCGTGTGAGTTACGTTCGTGAACCCTTAGTGGATCATAAGGACATTGACAAGATGGTGGCGTGCGCAGGCAGGCAGCAGATGAGGTTCAATGCGCAGAAGTGAGAGCTGATGCATTTGATTGCAGAATATTGAAAGACAATATAAAATAAGGGGCACAATTCTAAAGGGAGAACATGAGCAGAGGGCTTTCGGTTTAAATGTGCACTGATCATTGAAGGGGACAGGACAGGTGGAAAGAACAGTCAATAAACTGGAATTCTCAGCTTTATTAATAGAGACAGAGCATCAGAGCAGGGAGTTATGTTGAACTTGTACCAGACATTTATTAGACCTCAGCTGAAATACTGTGCAGTTGTGGGCACCAGTAAAACAGTAAAAGATGTAAACATATTGGAGAGTGTGTGCAGAAGCAATTTACAAGAATGGTTCCAGCGATGAGAAACTTCAGTTATGAGATTAAATTGAAGTAGTTGGGACTGTTCTCCTTGGAGAGAAGGAAAGATGTGAAAGGGACTTTCAAAATCACGAGCGGGCTGATAGAAAGATGCTGAGGGACATAGATTTAAAGCGAAGTTCAAAAGAAGCAAGGGTGATGTGAAAAATTCTTTCACATAGTGAGTAGTTTGGGTATGGAATGCCTGCCTGGAATGGTGGTGGAGGCAAGTTTGAGGAGGCATAAAAAGGAAATTGCATGGTTATTTGGATATAGGAAAAAGGCAGAAGACTGGCACTGGGTAATAGAAGCAGTGCAGGCACAATGGGCCAAATGATCTCCTCCTGCACTGTAACAATTCTGTGATTGTGATATTCCCATACCAAAATCTGCAACATTGACAATAGCAGGTTTGGGCTTTACTTCTCTCAGTACAATTACAAGTTAGTTATGGTATATAATAAACACTTCCTTAAATAGGCTACGCTTGATATTTACTTTCTTTACTGGTTTATCCAAAATTATAGGTAGAAGAGGCATCGATTTGGAACTATAGTGAGAAAGCATTAATAAAAAGACAGGTACTTTTGGGCACAGTGAAAGTAATAATACAAAGACTGGAGTCAGTTGTTGGCACAGAACATTAATGCAGACATAGGAGTCTGTAGGTATGGGTAAAGAGGGCACTTATGCTGAGATAGATCTGAAGATACAGTAAGAGAATTACTGTAAAGACAGGTATATGCAAATACAGTGAGAACATTAACCCAGGGATAGGGTAGACAGATGCTGGCAAGGAATGAAATAATTCAGAAGCAGAGTCATAAGTCAGAGATATACAGCACGGAAAGAGACTCTTCGATCCAGCTCATCCATGTCAACGAGATATCGTGAATTAATCTAGCCCCATTGCCAGCATTTGGCCCATATCCCTCTAAACCCTTCCTATTCATGTACCCATCAGATTCCCTTTAGATGTTGTAATTGTACCTTCCTCCACCACCTCCTGTGGCAGCTCATTCCATACACACACCACTCTCTGCATGAAAAGTTGACCCTTAGGACCCTTTTAAATCATTCCACTCTCACCTTAAACCTATGCCCTCTAGTTTTTCACTCACCTCCCCTGGGAGGAAGACTTTGGCTATTCACCTATCCATGTCCCTCATGATTTCATAAACTTCAATAATGTCACCCCTCAGCTTCTGACATTCCAAGGAAAATAGCCCCGGCCAATTCAGCCTCTATCTATAGCTCAAACCCTGGTAACATTCTTGTAAATTTTTTCCAAACCCTTTCAAGTTTCAAAACATCCTTCCTATAGCAGGAAGGCCAGAATTGAATGCAGTATTCCAAAAGTGGCCCAGTCAATGTCCCGTACAGTTGCAACATGACTCCCAACTCCTCTACTCAATGGGCTGACCAATCAGGGCAAGCGTACCTAAAGCCTTCTTCACCACCCTGTCTACCAGGGACTCTACTTTCAAGGAACTATGAACCGGCACCCCAAGGTCTTTGTTTGGCAACACTCCCAGGACCTGTGTATAATTCCCCCTCCCCACCCCAATTTGCTTGACCAAAATGCAGCATTTCACATTTATCTAAATTAATCTCTACCTGCCACTCCTCAGCACATCTGCCATCTTATCAAGGTCCCGTTATGCCCGAGATAACCTTCTTTGTAGTACACTGCACCTATTTTGGAGTCATCTGCAAACTAACTATCTGTACCTCCTTTGTTCACATGCAAATCATTTATACAAAAGACAAAAAGCAGTGGACCCAGCACCGATCTTTGCGGCACACAACTGGTCGCAGGCCTCTAAGTCTGAAAAGCAACCCTCCAGTCCCAACCTGTCCAATACCTTAGAGCCAATTTTGTATTCAAATGGATAGCTCTCCTTGTATTCTATGTGATCTAACCTTGCTAACGAGTCTACCATGTGGAACCTTGTCGAAAACCTTACTGAAGTCCATATAGACAAGGGTGATTGCTCTGCCTTCATCAATTTTCTCAGTCACTTCTTCAAAAAACTCAATCTAGTTACTGAGACACGGTTTCCCATGCACAAAGCCATGTTGACTAACACTAATTGGTCCTTGCCTTTCCAAATACATGTAAATCCTGTCCCTCTGAATCCCCTCCAACAACTTAGCCACTACTGACATCTGGCTCATCGGTCTATAGTTCTCTGGCTTTTCCTTACCACGTTTCTTAAATGTTCCACAGGTACAGGAAAAACCATTAATGTGAAGATATATTGAAAACAAAAAAAAACCTGGAAAGGACATCAAGATGAAACATTAAAAACAAAGTGTTTCTATCCGCAGTTGCTGTCTGAACAATTGAGTGTTTACAGCATTTTTTGTAATTTCTGATTTGCAGAATCTGCTTTTTGCTTCTGAATTGCTGCAGAGCCAGTGGGTTTAATGATAGCATTAACAGAAGAGTCTGCAGGTACAGGGAAAGAAGGAAAATAATGTGAAAACTGGAATCTGTTGGCACAATGAATGCATTCTGCATGCAGAACCAGGGCTGACAAGTAAAGCATGGACAAGCCTTAATACAGACAATGAGCTTCAAGTAAAGTAAAAGCATTTAGCACAGAGACAGCTGCCTGCAGATGCAGTCAGGGAAAGTATAATGCAGACAGTGAGATAGAGCATCAATGTCGACTGAGTCTATATAAATGCAGAAAGAAAATTTCCATAAAACTAGCATCAGAAAGTACAATTATAGCAAAGATTAATGCAGAGACAGCAATCTATAGATACAGGCAAACTGCACTGACATGGAAACAGGCACTCTCAAAGACAAAAAGTGGGTACTAATATGGAGGTAAGCGTCTGCAGGTACAGTGAAAGTGCATTTACGCCAAAAAAGTGCTCTACAGACACAAGAGGACACCATGGATAAGGGTCTGCAGGTTAGAGAGTCAGATCTACAGCACAGAAAAAGGCCCTTCAACCTATCACATCCATGTCTGTTAAAAACCACCAACTACTCTGATCCCAAATCCATGAAAATGTACAAACACAGAAGTTAAACTGCATTTAAATTGTGTCTTTAACATGGTATAAAACACTTCCAAAATGGTTCACAAGAACGTGACTAAATAATGTTTTTGACACTGGGCACATAACGAGCTATACAGCAGGTAACCCAACTCTTGGTTCTAGAAGAAAAGTGGAAGGAGAACGGAAAGGAAGACGCTCAAGGGAGGTGTTTGCAAAGAATTTGCAGAGCTTAGGGCTTGGCAACTAAAAGTACAGTCATCAGTCATACTGCAACTTAAATTAGGAATTTCCAGAACTCACTGCCTGGAAGGTGGTAGAGGCAGAAACCCTTATAACATTTTAGTATTCAGATACGCACTTGTGATGCCAAGGCATACAAAGCTGTGGGTTAAGTGCTGTAAAATAGAATTAGGATAATTAGGTAGTTGTTTTGACCAGCACAAACCCAAAGGGCCAAAGGACCTTTTTTTGTGCTATAGGTCGCTTTGACTCTAAGCTGCCAGATTCAGAGATGCATTATAGATCCTTTGAATGTTGCTAAAGGAGATCAGAGTTTTAGGGAGGGATAAGGCCATGGAGGAATTTTAAACAAAAATGAAAATTTTAAAATACATCTTAGATCAGTGATCACAGGTGAATGAAGCTTGGCACAGATTAGGGCATGGGTAGAGATTTGGATGACTAAGTGTGCAGAAGGTAGAAATTGGGAGGCTGGGCAGGAGAGCATTAGAATAGTCTAAAGGTAGCAAACGCAGATGTGCTGAGGTAATGGAGATGACAGGCAATGTTGCAGATGTGAAATGGTGCAATGTGTCAGAATTTCATCAAGGTCAAACAGGATAGAGATTCTGAAAGCTGGTTCAGACTCAGACAGCTAACAGGGAAAGGGTTGGTGATTAGGGAAGCGAGTTTGTGGCAGCAACTAAAGGCAATGATTTTGGTCCACATAATAGTTCCAGAAAGTGTTATGCAGAGGTTCTGTCAAATTCTGTGCATATTGACCTGGTTCAGCACACAAGAGGAGGAAGTCACTTTTTCAATGAAAGATCGAAAGATCCAGCTCACTAGCTGTAGCACAGTCATAACATTTGACAGCCACCCATGCAGAGCTCAGCAATTTGCTGAAATCAAAGCTCTATCTCAGCTACAGCTGCCATTAATCTGCAGAATTAACTAAATTAGCATAATAAAATTTAGGGCGCTAAATACTAGCATTTCAGCTTCACACAGAACAAGTTCAAACTGAAAGAACAGCAAGGTCAGGCTGACATAATAGGTGCAACCAATCATCTAAAGGTCATATCAAAGATTTAACTTCAATTCATTCACAAAGGTTTGCCAACAGTTTTCAGACCAGAGACTATTATTTTCTCTGTCCTTTTCCTTGCTTCCCAGAAGGCTTTTCAGACTTCTGCAATATAAATTCTTGAAACAAACCTTCAGAAACAAGATTTCAACTGATTTTTGATTTTGCTTGCCTATGGTTTCTTGTCCGAATGCAGCAGAGAGAGAGGTTCGGAAGGGAGAAAGAGAAAACAAGGATGGATCATGCAGGAAACAAGAATGGAGCATTCAAGAACTGACTTTCTCTAACTTCACTTTCCCAGATGTGCTGAGGCTCGCTGTAACCCAATTGAAGGCACTACAGCATACATAGTAGTTCACTAAATTGGCATGGTAGCTCAGTGGTTAGCATTGTTGCCTCATACTGCCAGGGACACGGGTACAATTCCAACCTCAGCAACTGTCTGTGTGGAGTTTGCACATTCTCCCCTTGTCTCCATGGGGTTCCTCCAGATGGCCGGTTTCCTCCTACAGTCCAAAGATGTGCAGGTTAGGTTGTTTGGCTATGCTAAATTGCCCATAGGGTCCAGGGATGTGCAGGTTAGGTGGATTACCCAAGGGAAATGCAGGATTACAAGGTTAGGGTAGGGCAGTGAGTCTGAGTGGGACACTCGGAGATTTGGTGTGGATTTGTTGGGCCGGATGGCCTGTATCCACACTGAAGGGAGTTCTACAATCGTATGAAATCAAAATTGAGACAATACTTTCACATTTGACTGTCATAGAAGTTCTGTCACAGCTATAACACAAATAACATTACATTCAATGTAGTTCTAAGCATGTTAAGACAGTATCTTCAAACTTACTATAATTTAGCAATTGGAAGCAGAGTTGAGCGCAGTGACAGTTTTAAAACAAAATATCTCTCTCACAATGTGATCCCAGTTCAGTATCATACTTCGGCACAATTTCACAAAGCAGTGCAGGAACAAAATTAAATCTTATGCATTCTTTTGGAATGTCCCTTTGGACCATCACATCTACTAATATAGTTTTTGTTTATTTTTATTGCAGTGGGTCACTTCTGGAGAGGTCAACTGTGGCAGTTAGAGAAACAAACAATTTCAAGTCTAATTTGCATAGCTGTCCATTTGCCACTTAGTGGTACAGAACTTGATTCCTTCTCACCTTCTGCGCTCGACGGACTAGAACAGCCGCAAAGAAGTGCAAAGTTACTCTTAGTTCATCAATAAAGGCTTCGTCATCAGTCAAGTCTCTGCAAAACCATAAACAGGATTCTTTTTAAAGAAGTTTGAATAAAACTGGAGTGTTTAAGTAAACACTGGATACACAGACATTCAAATCAATGGATGACATTGTAACTTTGAGGAAATAAATTGAATTTGCACTGTCCCAGTAAATCAACTATACTGTGCAGAGCAGCAAACCTCCAAATGGCTGTCATGATTCACTGTGCATAGACAAATTGATATCTGCTGCACTTATTGCTCCTTCATGAACAAGCTTTCCATCCGTGGTTAGATCACTTGGCCAAGAGACAAAAGGTGAGTTTCCTGCAGCATATTCCCCTCTGCTTTGCAGACTAAGCAAATACCCTTCAAATTCCCAAATATCAAATGAAAATGCCTTCACCATGTAACTGATAGCAATGCCTTTTAACGTTTGACTCACTGAGACAAAGAAGCAGACATTTAGTGAAGGTAGATGGCAAACAGAAAGTCAACATGATGCATAGAAAACAACCTCAACCCATTTTCTTCCCCCATTCGAGTCACTAAAGTAGACAGTCAAGTTGCTTCAAGCAATCTGTTTTCAGATTTCACAGACTAGCAAGACCATAACATGGAAAAGCAGAAGCATAATTTAAGGGGTGGTGATGGCCTCATGGTATTATCACTGGACTGTTAATCCAGGGACCCAGATAATGTTCTGGGGACGCAGGTTCGAATCTTGCCACGGCAGATGGTGGAATTCAAATTCAATGAATATCTGGAATTAACAGTCTCATGATGACCATGAATCCATAGTCGATTGTTGGAAAAAATCCACCTGGTTCACTAATGTCCTTTAGGGAACGAAGCTGCCATCCTTACCCGGTCTGGCCTACATTAGACTCCAGACCCATAGCAATGTGGTTGACTCTTAACTGTCCTTTGGTCAATTAGAGATGGACAATAAATGCTGCGTCACTAGTGACGCCCTCATCCCGTGAATGAATAAAAAAATGGTCTTTCAGTCTATTGAGTCTACTTTGCCATTCAAGGAAAATAGTGATCGATCTGATAATCCTCAATTGCACTTTCCTGCCATTTTACCATAACCCTCAATTGCATTAATGATTAAATATGTCTATCACAGCCTTGCATATATTTAACTATCCAGCCTCAATAGTTGTCTGCAGTAAAGAATTCTATTTATTAACTATGCTGTCCTTATCTCAGTTTTAAATGGGTGACTCTTTATTCTGAGATCATGCCTTCTCGTCAAGCCACTTGTGCAAACAAACTCTGTACATCTATATTTCTCAAGCACCGAGAATCTTCCGTTTCAATAAGAATGTGTTTCCTCTCATTCTTCTAATCTACAATAATTCCAAGCCTAACCTAACCTTTCCCTGCCTACCTCCAATGTCAGCATACCCTATCTTTAGGTAAGGAGACCAAAACTGTTCACAGTATTCTAGGTGTGGTCTGACTAGTGCCTTGTACATTTTTAGCGAGCCTTTCCAATTTCTACACTCCATTCCCTTTGAAATAAAGGCCAATAGTCCATTTGCCTTCCCTCTTACCTGCCAAACTTGGATGCTAGCTTTTGTGGTTCACAAATAAGCACATCCATTCTCTGTCCTACAGCTTTCAGCAGGTTTTTTTTCCCCCATTTAAATAATAATCACTTCTTCTATTCTTCCTGCTAAAGTGCATAACCTCAAACTTTCCCATAATATATTTCATCTGGCAAGTTTTTGTTGACTCTTATCCTGTCTATATCCCTCTGCAGATTCTTTGCGTCCTCCTCACCCAACTTCCCACCTATTTTTGTATATCATCTGCAAACTTAGCAACAGAAATTAACCAGCTTCATGGCCTTTTATTGCCCATTCAATATATTACATCAGATGTGTGATAACTTAGATACAATAGCAAGTTAAAAGAAAGATACAGTTTGATTAACTTCTGTGGATAATTAAAATGATTTAACTATTATGAAATAAAATAGTAAACTGAGGTGCTCTGGAGAGCAGGTAGCAACAAGTGAGAAGGACTGAGGGTTAATAGTAGCTGCTTACTCTCTTGTATTTGATGACAGAAATGAGCATGACTCATATCGCTCAGAGATAGCAGTGCTTTTCTCTCCCTTCGAAAATAAGAAACAGTATCTCTCAATGGACATTTTTATAATGATTTACTTTGCATAACTGGTAGAGAAAATATCCCGGAACCTATGTAAACTTAGAACATTTGCGAACAGCATTCCCTCTAATTCATTTCTGGTTTGCACGGCCTTCCGAGCCGCATGCGTGTCAAGACTTCCAGAACCAGAAGTCAATACTGTGACCAGCATTCCAACGCTGATTGCAAGGCACTGAACCTTGGAGCACGAGGGCAGCCATGCAGCTTAGACGGAACTTTGTTTGTGGACATCATTTGTATCTCAGAATGCCACATAACAAAAATAATTAAACAGAAAGCCAGTTCCACTGTCAAACATGGCATCGTTTAAATAGTATGAACTATGGCTGTCCCATTAACCTGAGAATGAGTGACTTTGGGATAAGTTGGCAAAAAATGATATGACCAGGCTACTGGGGTATGGGTACTGCATAGTGTTCTCACCTGAACTGGAAAACATCTTCCAATTTCCACCCTTCTCTCACTTTCACATGGTAAACCTCAAACTTGTCCCTTTCTCAACTTCCCTGTCTATTTCCGAGATAGGCTATAGAATGTTTATTAGAAGCCCAACAGCAACCCCGACTACTGCTCCTCATGCTGTGCAACCTGTATGTGAACATCCTCCAAGTTTCACCATTTCTCTCACTTCTGTTTCATGATGCAACCTTCTATATCTGTGCCTCTGGCAGGTGTCCTTTTCTTCCTCAACGAAGGATTCTCACCTTCTTTGTTTGGCAGGGCCCTCGACTGTGTCTGGCCCATATCCTGCACGCCCACTTCTGCATTCCATTCCCAGAACAAGAATTTGATTCCCTCATTCCTGTTTTACACCCCATCAGCCTCCATGCTCCATGGACCATCCTTCACCACTTAACATAGACTGCATCGGTCAAGGCATAGAAGTATAAAAATTGGCAAATCACGCGGCAGCTGTACAGAACTTCAGTTAGGCCACATTTGGATTATTGTGGTATTTGAAGTATTCTAATCACCTTACTACCAGGATGACGTTGAGGCTTTAAGAGAGGGTACAAACTTGGCTTGTTTTCACTTGAACGTCAAAGGAGAGGCAATCTGAGAAGTTCATAAAATTATGAGAGGCATGAATAGAATGGATAGTCAGAGATTTTCCCCCCCACGGTAGAAATGTCAACTACTAGAGGCCGTAGGTTTAAGGTAAAAAAGGGGTACAGTTTAAAGGAAATACGGGCAGCAGATTCCTTTTTTTAAAAAGGAGTTAGTAAGTGCCCAGAACACACTGCCAGAGGAAGTGGAGGAGGTGGATACAAATAACAACATTTAAAAGGTTACTTGACAGATACACGAATAGGTAGGGAATATGGACAGCATACAGGCAAAAAACTTTTAGTTTTCAAAAGCATCATGTGTCAGTGCAGTCTTGCTGGGCCGAAGAACCTGTACCTGCATTGTACTGTTCTTTGTTCTAAATCTTCCTTTCTTCTCCCCTTTTAGTATTCTGAGCAGTCTATTTCCTCAGTGACACCCTGATTCCCTCTTCTAATCACCTCTAACACTGTGTACCTTTCCCATGACATTTGCAATTTTATACTTGTCCTTTTATTGCCTCACTACTCAGTATCCTCAGCCCCAAATATTCCTTTAGGCAAAGTAACAATTTACATGTACATTCTTCAATTCAATCTACTACATTAGTTGCTCACAATGTGGTCTCCTATACACAGAGGGGTCAGGTGCAACCAGATTGAGAAACAGTTCCAAGCAGTCCACATCAACCTCAAATGGCTTGCAAACTTAATTCTCCATCTTGATGGCACATTGACCTCAGTGGCCTCAGCCAGTCGCAGTGTCCCATTGAAGCTTAGCACAAGCTCAAAAGGACTGCAGCTCATTTTTCAATTAGGCACTTCACAATATTCCAAAATCTGCACTGAACTGAATAATTTCATATTGTAGTCTCTGCCCTGACTCTGTTCCCCTCTCTTCCACTCCTCAATGACTATATCAACTCCTGGTGTCCACAACAACTCACTTCAGTGGTAAATCAAATTTGGACAACATCCACAGACATCTCCCAATTGGATTCACTGCAAGAGAACTGCTGCAAAAATAATGAGAGATGAAAATATAGGTGAAGAGAAAATCTTCACTGTTTCCTTTGATAGTGTCATGTCACCGTTCTAAACAAATATACTGCAGCTTAAAACCTACATATTCCAGAGTAGGATCAGAGTCAGAGATGTACAGCACGAAATCAGACCCTTCCGTCCAACTCGTCCATGCTGACCAGATATCTTAAATTACTCTGGCCCCATTTGCCAGCATTTGGCCCATATTCCTCTAAACCCTTCCTATTCATGTACCCATCTAGTTGCCTTTTATATGTTGTAATTGTACCAGCCTCCCCCACTTCCTCTGGCAGCTTGTTCTATGCATGCAGCACCCACTGCCTGAGAAAGTCACCCCTTAGGTCTCTTAAATCTATGCCCTCTAGTTCTGAACACCCCAACCCTGGGAAAACGACTTTAGCTATTCATTATATTGATGCCCCTCATGATTTTATAAACCCCCATAATGTCACCCCTTGGCCTCCAAAGCTTCAGGGAAAAACAGCCACAGCCTATTCAGACTCTCCATGTAGCTCAAACCCTCCAACCCTGGCAACATCCTTGTAACTTTTTTTTTTTTTTTTTTAAAAACCCTTTCGTATTTAACAACACCTTTCCTATAGCAGGGAGACCAGAATTGAACGCAGTATTCCAAAAGTGGTCCTAACCAATATCCTGCACAGCCACAACATGACATCCCAACTCCTACGCTCAATGCACTAACCAATAAAGGCAAGTGTACCAAATGCCTTCTTCTCCACCTGCGACTCCACCTTCAAAGAACTATGAACCTGTAAGATTCTACAAAGGGCTAACCCTTCACTGAAACTATGTTAGAGATCAAGTCACCTGAGAATGCTGAGCTGGTTCTCACTGGAAACCAGCTACAGCACATTATAAATAGAATATATAAATTATTCCCTAAACATTTCAATACAGCCAAACTATAGTCAGACACAATGTCCAGAACAATAACTCACCACTCAATAGATCATTGTTAGGCACTTTATCCTAATCTCATGCAGATCTCTGGGGCAACCAACAGTTACAGTAGAATTCACACAGCCAATGAGTTTGCACATTCAGCAAGTCAACTACTACTTTCAAAGTCTTGAACCACTGTTCCCATATCTGAATTATCACCTATGCAATCCTTCACCAAAAATCCATGCCCACTAACTTCTCAAAAGAAAACTGCATTGCCAATAAACTGACCACAAGAATCAATACAGTAAAAACACTAAAAGATTTATGAAGCTTAATCCATGATGTATTAAACAGTAAAATTACAATGTATGTCAGGACAATAATTAGTTTGGCTTGAGGACAATACAAGCATCATTCACAACTCTTCAGACATTGAAGCAATCTGTGTTCAAATACAACAAAATCTGGACAATATCCAGGCTTGGCCTGAAAAGTTGCAAGTAATGTTTGGACCACACAAATACTAGGCTGTGACCAACTCCAGTAAGAGACAGACAATCTAACCACCGCCATAAGCATTCAATAGTGTTAGCATCATTGAATCTCCCACTATTAACATCCTGGGGATTACCATTGACAAGAAACTCAACTGGACTCCCTGTATAAATATAGTGGCTACAAGAACAGTTCAGAGGCTAGGTATACTACAATAAGTAATTCACATCCTGACTCCCCAAAAACCATCTACAAGGCACAAGTCAGGAATGTGATGGAATACTGTCCACTTGCCTGGATGAGTGCAGCTCCAACAACATTCAAAAAAAACTTGACAGCATCCAGGATAAACCAACTTGCTTGATTGGTACCATACCCACCAACATCCACTCCTCCCTCCACCAATGCTCAGTAACAGCAACATGTACTATCTACAAGATGCACTGCAAAAATTCACCAAGGATCCTCAGACAGCACCTTCCAACCCCATGACCACTTCTATCTAGAAGGACAAGGGCAGCAGATACATGGAAACACCACCACCTGCAATTTCCCCTGCAAGCCACCCACCAGACTGACTTGGAAATATATCAGCATCTTCATAGCTACTTGGTCAAAATCCTGGAATTCCCTCCCTAATGACATTGTGGGTCTACCTACAGCATATGGATTACAGCAGTTCAAGAAGGTACCTGACCACTACCTTCTCAAAGGCAACTGGGGATGGACAATTAATGCTGGCCAGTGATGCTCATGTTCCATGAACGAATTAAAAAAAAAAAAACTTAAAATCATAAAATACATTTGTGTTCTAAAGTTACCCAAAATGCTTACAGAATAGAAAACATTTTTATCTAAATTAACTCCTTTAAAATATATTTCATAAAATTCCAATCAAATGGACTACATCCTACCTGTACCAAGGGTGCACAAAGTTTTCAATCACCAGCTCCAGTATCTACAGAAGGCAAAATCTTACATTTAATACAAAACATGATTTTGCTCAAGTATATTTAGAATTGCTTGACATACGTGCATGTATTTCACACAAACTCATTTTTATAGGCCTCAGTAGTGAAAGTACTTCCACCATTGCACTGATTTTGGAGCTTTTAAAGGAAGAAGGGATTAAATGAGAAACAACAGAAATAAGTAAAAGTCAGGATAATAAAGGTGAGTAAGTGAAACAGGGCAAATGAAGTACATTCGGAATAAGGGAAGTATTCTTACATTAGCTTTTTTTTGGGAAAGAATGTTACTCAGGGGTGTAAAAGAAGTTACAGCAGCAGAACTCACACCATCATATCCTCCCCTTGTGCTGCATGGAAAAATCACAAACTTCAGTTGTCCCTGGTGAACACACGTGCAGGAAGTACATCCTGCTGCAGTCACTGTTGAACCACATTTCGGAGCTGGAGCTGGAGCTGCAGCTGCAGATAAATTCACTGTGGAGCATCCATAATGCTTCGAAAGTCATGGATAACATGTTCAGTGAGGTGGTTAGGCCTTAGGTGCAGACTGAACAGATAGAAAAGGCATGGGTGAGCACCAGGCAGCTTAGTAGAAGGCAGTTAAAGCAGGAGTTCCCCATGGCCATCCCCCTTTCAAACAGATAACATATTGGATACTACTGGGAGATAACTGGACATGGGAAAGCAATGATAGCCAATTACGTGGCACCAGAGGTAGATCTGTTGCAAAAGAGGGGAAGAAAAAGAACAGCAGGGCAAGAGTGGTATGGATTTCAATTGTAAGGGGGCCAGGCAAGCATTTCTGTGGCCGCAAAACAGACTCCAGAATGA